GGCTTCGAGGCAGGCCTCCAAGCCTCGAGGATGTGCTTTTAAGGATGAAGCAAGCCTCGAAGCAGGCTTCAAAGCAGGCCTTGAGGCACCAAATGCAAGCAACCAAAACAAATCCATGCAGGCAGAAGTCGAGAGAGTCAGTAGCCCCAAACGAACGCCAAAAAGACATTCAGCAGCCAAAGACTTTAGTGTCTGGCGACAAACCTGCTTCATTATGGCCCCCAAAACAAGATCCAAAAAACTAGTAGAAACAGGGAAGCTATAAAGGGACCTCGACTGTAGTTCGCTCACCACAATAACCAAACGTCAGCAATAAGTCACAAAGACAAAGGTCACAAAGTAGACTTCCAGATCAAATACCCAGAGGTTGACTACTATACGTAGGCATTGTCCTCACAATGCCGAAGTATCTCACATACTCGCAAGAGGTAATCAAAGGACTTCACAAACATCTCAGATGTTTGAAGCAACGTCAATAATCGAAACGGAGGTTCCAAAACTATCTCCGTCAGATTCACTCTCCCACAAGGAGTCAAGAAATCTCCGAGATCGATGAAACCACATCATTCCGACTCAACTGTCCAGCAAATGCTTCTGAAAGCATTCGCCCATTGTCATAGAAAGCATTCGCATTGTTATTTAGCTAAAGCTTCAACTGTATTCAAAGGAGAATCGAGATCCAAGTAGATTCACTTGGACCCACAGGTCAATATCTCAAATTGTCTCTTGCAGCTCCAAAATACCACAAAGCAATCAAGACCACTCAAGTCTGATGCAGACACCTTCCCATAGTCCAATTTCACCACTAAAGGATCAATGAAGGTCTTTCTTTTCCGTCCAACGCCGTATGGCTTCCGCCAGGTTGTTTAACATGTTTCCAAGCATGTTGCATATGGGATTAATTAATTTCTTCAGGCAGGGGCCGAAGCTGTAGTGGCCGCAAAAGTAAACTGGTAGAGGACCGATACATAGTCCTATTCCCTTGTCACGTTCATCAGAGAACAAGAAACGAAGCACAAAGAACCAAAAGCAACAACAACACCAAAAACAAAACCAAACAAAAACAACACACACAAAAGGCAAACAACCACACAACCACAAAAAAG